AGTGATCTGACCCAATCACCATGCCGTTCCACCGCCATCCTTCCCATAGTGGTAACTGAGTCAATGAAAACCAATGTCAGAGTGTGTTTGTGTGTCCTTTTTCCTTTGTTTGTGTGTGCGCGCCTTTAATTGTTTTGTGTGGCTTGCTGGTGCTGAAGGCAAAACGGAACAGCAGTTGGTCTGAGTTGCCAGGGGGGGGTAGTTCCATTTCTAGACCCCCTAGGGTCCCCCAGAAAATGCAACTTAACTTGAGGTCCCCCCCCTCTCCCGGACCCAGGTTAAGGGGGGATGTGAAATCATACCAGGTCTGACTGACTCCCTCAGATTGGAACAGAAAGGTCCACCGAGCTTTCCACCTGGTTTTGAGATCTTTGGAGTCGGGGAACCCCCCCCCACCATTTTCGCAAAGTTGGGTGACCTGCAGGAAGAACTTCTTCCACGTCAGCTCCGGGGATTTCGCCCCTGGCTCGTCGCCCTCTTCGTCGACTCCCGGACGACTCCAACGCTCCGAGGCGCGTCGAGTCGTCCGAGGCGCGCTTTTCCATGGTTTGGAGCGAGTGGGAGCGATCTGATGAGCTGGACCTGCCCTAAGAATCCCTCAAACACGCAGGTTTTGGGTAGGGTTTGGTTCGGGGACCCCTGCGTTTCGGTGGAGAAGGTCCGACCCCCCTGCCGGCGATGCTTCGGCAGTGCGTTGGACCGTCTGACCACCGCGTCCCAGCCTCTCTGCATGAGAAGTGATGGAAGCCAGTTGCACCTGCCCACTCACATCGCGATGGTCAAATGAATTCTTCTGAGACGAGACTGTGTTGGATGCTTCGGGAGCTAAATTCACGTGTCCCAGCTGCATTCCAGTAATTCACCACAAGTGTGAGACCCCTCTTGGTGGAACCCATTAAAAAAATACCGACTGGCGGGTCATCCCAGCTGCGAGCCCGCAGACTGATCCATGTCACATCTCAAGATAGATCGCAAGGTACTTAACCCCGTGGTATCCACTGGATCCAAAGTTTGCAACTCCTAAGCCGGACAGACGCTCTTCGAGCTATATAAATCGAAGTCAGGGGTAGACGCCCTTCAACTCAAACGTTGTATTGCCCCGCGTTTTTAAACGTTGGTCGGGGTAACGATCTACTCACCCCAGCAACCTGTGCGAACATGTCGACCCGCTGGTGGCTCTGTTCCCCATCTGTGGCAAACATGTTGTCCTAATCTGGATAAGCCACCCAGGACAAAATATGATCCGAGCTTCCAACATCTTTCCACCCCCCCCTCCGGGTTTGGTTGATTTGAAGAGCGAACTTACCAGCAAGGACATGACAAAACCCTTCAACACAATCACATATTCGAGCATTCACAATGGAACCATATGGAAATTCATGCTTCCCAATGCGGAAGTCTAACAAGTCAAATCACCACTTTCCACCGACTTTCCACCATCTTTGTCCCGTTTCTCAGGGTTGTTGGTCGGGTCTTCCGACCGTCTGACACACCAGTTCTCCGCACCCGGACACTCCGGAACCTCAAGTGCTTCCTTGGAGGCTTCTGCGCATTGAAGCCTTCCAAAAACGCTGGAAGAAACACATGACCATCATGATCTGGCAGGACCCTTCCCACTCCTTCCCATAGATGTTCGGTCGGGAGTTGGAACAAACAGATGCTGCTCTGAACAAATGGCAGGCTTCGCTTTTTCCGGGGGGGCGTCTATACAGTCTGTTCATCCAGGTTCACTCGCTCAGAAAGGAAAACTTCTTGACCAATTGGACGAACCTTCACTGCTGGGGTCTCGTGAAACGCACAGTTTGCGCAGTGACCTCACCGTCAGTGATAGCAAATCCTTCTGAATCTCTGAACCGTGCTGGAGGTCTTCGACGAGAGATCTCGGAAGGAAGACGCATAGATGATCTTGTTTCCCTTGTTTCGGGGGTCAAACATGTGTGCCGCAACACATGATTGAAATCACAAAAAAAGTAACCTTCTTCTCGCCATCACGCGGAGAACTCTTCTATCCGCCTGGCATGCAAGGTTCCAAAACTCTCACCCCGCTCTTCCTCATCCTGGCCATGTCGTCGAACAATTTCGAGCAAGGCCTGGAATGAGATTTGAACCTAGGTTAGCATCAAGTATAGCTATTTTGTCCAAGTATGTTCCAAATAAACATTATTGGCAGTGCGCAAGGCACGGGTAAGAGTTGTAGGTATTCTTACGTACATGTTATCCCAGGTGCAAAAACTATGGCAATAACAGTTAATGACAATAGCATTTACCCAAAAGTCGGACATCATTCAGCTTCCTGACCTGATCTGACAGTATACGCTTGACTACACTACATCTCTACGTCTTCTTTCAACACATAATGAAGCTACTTGGCTCCATTTTGGGTCTCCCCAGTGTAAAGTGAAGAAACCAACCACTTGACGTCTTGATCTCACGAACACCATCATCCGAGTTTTGAAGCCATGAAACACTCATGCTGTTTGGCAAATGTTATGATCCTGGATGTCCGAAGGCCGGAGATGCTCTTTCCCTTGGATTGAGGTATCCATCTGTGGTTTTCTTGATCCATCGTTCCATTCGTCACATGTCCCCAGATTCGACGTGGATCTCGGAGAACTTGAGACTTTCCACAAGCTAACATCCACAATCTAGATAAACAAGAGACGACTTTGTCATTTGCCTGTATTGGGGCAGCAAACCCGTGCTGAAGAAAGGCGTTTTCGTGTCATCATGGTCCAACCCGCAACAAGTGTTCTCCAAATAGATGCAAAGAGTCATTATCTCCGCTGACGACAACAACAAGAACAACAACTTGTCATCTCTTGACTCCTTATGACCCTTCTTTTGGGTGGATGCTTCCTGCGATGCTCTTCTTGTGGTCCCAACAAACCAAACACCGACCAGGACCAGGCTCTCTGAGGGTCTTCGACAGATCTGCCTCGTAGAACCTCGCCCCCCCCCAAAAAACACGGCTGCCATCGGCGGACCTGTTGCAAGAGAGCTTGCAGGTCCTCCAAGCGGTTGTTTGCGCGGACACGTTGTATGGCAATAATCACTCCAAAAAAGAAAACAGCGCCTTGAGAGCTCAGAAGAAAACACATGACTTGCCGCTTGCCTGCCTAATTCGTGAAACATCAAGACTCTGGACTCTGGGGCGCCCTTGGGATATATAGGGGACATTATTGAAACTCCTCATTGGCAAGATAACAGGACTTATATAATGCGTTGAACATTACCTGGGCCCAAATTCCTTGCGGTTCTTTGGGCCCCCCATCCCAAACAAAACTGTTTCCAACGTACGGGGAGATCGATAACTATGTGGTAAACGATGGCCAGCCTGGGCCAGCCTGGTTGAAAACTATCAGTAAGTGAAACTCGAACCACTTGAGACTCCAGGAAAGACTGGACCTTTGTTTATTATCCCGGCAAGAGACCCCAAACAGTTTGTCTACAGGTCTAAGGCCTTTTTTTGGAGGTGTAGAAACACAAGGTCTAGAGACCTAGACGTGGCTCCACAGAACTACCAGTCCAGAGGTCTTGAGATTCAGGGAAAATCCAAAGATATTTAAAGGTCTAGAAAGATCTAAACACCTTTTCCCACGCAGAAACATCTAGCGGTCTGGAGGTCTAGATGCAGATCTAGTGGCCTAGAGCTGAGAACAAGAGAGGTTTTCAGATGTTTTGAGATCCAGAGATATGAAGCCTCTAGTTTTCTAGAGGTTTAGCAGATCTAGAAATCTACAAATCTGCAGGTCTCTCTCTAGATCTCCCTTGTTCCCCTTGTTTTGCCATCTTCGCTTCGCTACAGCTTTGCACCTTCTTCCGTTGCTCGGCTGCAAGACGCAAAGCTTGGACTTCATCATGACGTTGACCTTGGCGAGACTCAGAGATACCGGGTCCTTCTTTTGACCAGAGGCTGGAACTTCTGGGACTCTGCACATGTTTACTTCACTTTTACAAACGAATCAACATCAGCACATACAATACAGTACTGATCAGTACTGTATATATAAATATATCGTTTCCTTTGATACATAGCAATCATAGCATGGTTTATGGCTCCTCTGGATTCCCCTGGGCCGAAATCCTGTGAGTCGAAGCAAGGTTTCGAGTCGCAGCCGGGGCGCGCGGTTCCGCTGCACGGAGCAGCTGCAGTTTGGGCTGCTCGGTTCCGTGCACCTTCCAGTTGAGTCCTCCTCGAAGCTAGGGACCCCAAGAGAGAAACTCCTGCGAGAAACCCATGTCACCTGGAATGCCTCTTGGCGGAGCGGAAAAACAAACAATGCCCAGAACTAGTATAGTCAACCATTTCAGGAGAAAGTCTCACAACACAGACCCAGCCAACGCCTATGAAGCCACATTCACTCAAACCAAAAGGATTGATTCAACAGCACTATTGAACTTCAAGACACAGGTCCCATTGACACCGATGTTTTGGGCGACCGGGCGTGACACCTCTCTCTTGAGCTTCAGCGTGCTGCCAATGCCCTGACAAAACGCCCATCTGGGCCATGTTGGGCCCAGAGTTTGGATACAATTACAATGTTGCTACTAGCTTTATTGTTACTACTCACACACTCCATGATACATATCTATATAAGCTTTCGTGTCGCTCGATCTTAACCCTTCACACATCTTTTTAGCCAGTGCCAGGAGTGCAAGCAAGTTTGGTGAAATGGCTAGATGTAAAACCTTTGAAAATGATGTAAACATATTTGGATCGGAGTTAGCTCTTGGGTTGACCAAGGCATCTCTCAGGGTGTCTTCCCACCAGATAGATTCTCACCACGCGGTTTGAGTCCTAATGACGCAAGTGTGGCAGGAGATGTTTCCTTCGGCTCACTGTCCGGGGTCTTGCGAGGATTGTCGGTACGTGGAGTCGTGTTGCCATTTTGGCTGGAGAAGCCTCGGCAGAGTTTTCGCAAACCCCAATGAGACATTTAAAAAAGCAAAAAATGCATCGAACGCATCGAACCAAAACAAACCAAGGATTCGAATTCATCCGCTAAAACCCAGCGGCAAAAGCCCTGCATCTTGTTGGTGAAAGTACCAGTGGCCAAGAGGAGCACTCCGACGTACCTTGCAGCTTGCTGTGAGAAAGTGCAGTTCTCAGCAACAGCTGTGATTCTGGCAAACAAGAAGTCTATTTGAATATTCTGTAAAGGATTGCCAAGGTATGATGGCTCGATTTTGCCTCAGTTCACGCTTACTGCAAGGCGTCTTACTGTATCCTTCCAAGGAACTGCCAAGCCGTGACCTGTTCGTGCAGCCACGCTATTGACAGAGCAATCACAAGGATCAGATTCAAGTTGCCGACGATGCCTGTGTCTTTGCCAGTATCTGGAGTGACACCCTTGCAACAGTATCTGGAGTGACACCCTTGCAACTCTCAGCGCTGGATTTTGGGAAAGCTCCGTTTTTCTATACTTAACCAGCAAAAACAGCTACTGCCATGTCGCCAAGGTGCTTGACATCAAAGCACCCAAAGCCTTCATGGCATACCACTGCGTGATGTTGAGACACACGGCGGCCAAAATGGAATTCAAGAGCGCAACCTGCACTTCAGCACCGATGGTTGGGAGGATCATCAAACCTTCCAAGCATTCGCCGCTGGCCACCATCGTCCTCAGTGGATGGTTGGAAAACCATCAGCCGAATCGGGAGGACAGCCGAAACAAGAAGGAAAGCGGAGGACATGTACGTCAAATGCGCGTCCCAGGACGCGGAGGAAGAAAAACGTTTTCGCAAAAAACGTTTTCGCAAGACCGGCCCCAAGAATCACCAAAGTGATGCAGCCAGACCAAAACCCGTTCCAAAAGACCAAGCGCAAGGGAGAGAGGCTCAAAGAGACCAACTCATGCTGCCACACACCGCGTGCGGACCGTAGCAGGGCGCTGATGGTTGCCCAAATGAAGGCTGCAAGGGAGGCATTCACCTCACCCTGGATGCAGCAAATGCTGCCACCGCAAACCATTCCCACGGAGAAAGCTGAAGCAAAGTTAAAAGAACGCCTTGGTGGTGTGCGGAGGCCATCGCAAGTATGTTGGAGGCCATCGCTACTAATTAGTACTGTAACAAGAAGCTACTAGGAACAAATTGATTTCCCACACGCCAAAAGTCGGCACGATACAACCACACCTACAGCTCGCTTAAAGAATGTTGGCTTTGAGGCAGGTGGGGGGCAAAAGCACTAGACTTTTTGGGGCTTAAAGAAGTGAACAAAAGAATACAATGATGAAGTGTTCATTCATACTAAAGTGATGTTTTTCATAAAGTGACTTTCCTTTAATAAGCTCCAGCGAAAAGGTCATGAAGGGGACATTGGCTGCGATCATCGACACAAAAGCCACCCCTCCGTAGAGGAATGCCGTGTTGTTGGTGAGAAGGGAGAGGCCGTTCAAGACGGAGATGGGCAACACCTTCAAGGCTTCATCCATCTTGGGCCGTTCGAAGATCAAGGTCACTAGGCATACGGCGAGCATGTGCATCGCAGTCAGTGTATTTGGATACGGGTAGCCGAGATTGATGGTTTCTTTCACAAAGACCTGGCCAGGTTCACTGATGGCAAATCAACATTCAAACCTCTCAAAAAATGGGAACCCGAAAAAATCCCATCAGACTGCGATTTCTGTTGTGCCCCGTGCCTTGACCAACGTCACAGCTGACAAGTATGAAATAACCATCAGAAGAGCTTGAGGGCCCTCGTAGTAAGCAATAGGGCTGACGGCAATCAGGATCATAGCCTCATCAAGAAACCAAAAAGCCATGGCAAACCATCAGGCATCCATGTGACCATACAAACCTGTGGATGAATGAGTCATAATGAGTCTTTTTTATTGAACCTAACATGCACACGCAGGATCACGCAGGAGGACTCTAGGAAGCCGACCACCAAGCCATAGACAGCGATCCAGGACTTCTCTTTGCTGGCAGTGTCAGCTGCTTGAAACCGATATAATCGATGACTGTCAAATGCAACCAATGCACCGGCTCCATCATACATGTTCAGCCCGCTGATATCAAAGGCTTGTACTTTTGTCCTTGACAGGCTTCAAAGTTTTTGAAGCGAATGCATGAGGAAGAAAGCAATGAACAATGGCAGGTTGTGCAGGGTTGTCAGGGCACACAGGGCATACATGGGCATACTATCTCAAACTGTGCGTGCCCTTGGTTTTTTTTGTTTCGTGAATGTGTCGCAGAAATCGCCCGCGCTCCACAAGGGGGCTGGATTTGAGCAGTGAACCTCCGCAAGGGTCAGATCGCGAACTCGCGCAGTAACCCATGGCGGAAAGTGCTCCTTTTTTCTCGGTTTTTAATGTCTTTCCAACTGGCGGTCGTCGCGCAGTTCCCGCCTGGACTTTGGACGCGAAAAAGAGAGGGTACTGGGAATGCCCCCAGCGGATGCCCAGCAGCTGGGGGAGCGAGGGGAAAAGGCTCGGTTGATCCACATCGACGCTCGATGCGGATGATTCAACAATGCCCCTCCGGATGATTCAACACACCGATGGTGGCGACACACGAAGGTGGAGTGCAACAACCTTCACAGCCTTCACAGCACCGCGCAGTGCAACAATCCCGTGATCATTCCAAGGTAGACCACATGCGGCGCTCATCAGCGTCGCTGTACAGTTGACCAGTTTTGTCACTGCCTTGACCCCCTGTCGTTGTCCAACAGCCGTGTGGGCACACTCAGTGGGGTTGAGCCCCTGGTACCCAACCCATCCCAACCCGATTTATCAGGAAACAAGCCACCCCATTCTAGCTAGGCTGGCCACTTGCGGCTCTTGGTACAGTTTTTGTTCGTTTGGATGTCGCGCTCTTCGTTCAGCCTGTACGAGCGCTGTTCGCCACTGGATTCCCCCTTGCTGTGGAGTCTTTGGCAAGTCGGAAGCTTGGCTACTGCCGCAGGGTACACAAGACCTGTCTTATATGGTCTCCTCTACCAAGAAGTCAAAGGGCCAGACCAAAAAGAGAAGGAAGACATGTCACTGCATTCTTGGATTTGGGAAAGCTCCCACATAATAGAGGAAAGAACATCAGTACCCACAGCAAGGCTCTAATTTTTGGACTGTGCGTCACCCATAAATGCGTAGTCACTAAAACAACGACTCCATGAAAGAACACCAGTCCTGAAAATCTTGGCAGGGCCAGTGACATTTGAAATTGAAGGCCCGCCCACTATCGACTGTGCAAATGTGCTGCTGCCGTGGGTGTCGTACTTGCCGTTGGCATCAACCGGGTGGAACTGCAGCAAGCTGGAGGTCTCACATGTCTCACTCTGAACGCAAGTTAAGTGGCATGCGCACAGAAAGCAGCCCAGCACACTTCCAATGGAGTTCGATCTCATTTCATTGAACAGCTTCATTTGGAGCCGAAGTGGCACAGCGGACATGGCATATCAGTGGAAACATCATCTGGAAACATGGACATCTTCCAACAACCACCGATTTTCCGTGAGGGTGCGTTTTTGTTTTCCTTTTTTTCCACGTCCCGCCGCCCCGGGGAGATGCCGCGGTGCGAACTCTTCGGTGCGAACCCTTCGGCCTTTGGGCTGGGTGAACGCATCATCTTCGACTTGGCACCTGGAACGCCGCACGAGGTGTCAAAGGGGTGTCAACGAGGTGTCAAAGAGGGCAGAGACGCTCTGACAAGTCAACAGGGACCAGTTTTGACAAGTTCTGGACATTCTGACAAGTTTAGCCTGCACCTGATCGCTGTCCCGAAAGAAGGAATGATGCGGGGTTTGGAGTCTACAGTATCAAAGATTGATCAACCCAAAAAGTTCCTAGAACTACTCTCAATTGACGATCAAACTACCCTGTGTTTGCCAAGTTTCCATGTCTGCATCCTGCATGCTGCTGATGCAAACGAATCGTTCTGTTGCGCCAGGTCTGCCCGTTCTGGTGGACAAATCCTACATCATCATACATCATCCCAACTACCTCGAGGATAACTGAACGCTGACTGGCATACACTGGCCATGCACAGGAAACACTTTCATTGGTGTTCATGTTAGATTGGACTGTCCAAGCAAGAGTGCCTGGTCAAACAAACTAGAAACACATGACAAACCGCCCTCTTTCCTATTGGATATGTGTATTGAGCCTTCGCCCTTCTTGCATGTCCTGTCGCCATATTTCAACCCTCAAACATGAGGATGTTTCCCTCCGGTCGTCATGCCGGCCGATTTGACCAAACTCACTTGCTGATTGAACACATTAAAATAGATCATAGTAAATAATGAACTTCACTGGATTTCTCTGTAGCTCTCCTAATGTCAGAACTTTGCTCCTCAGATCTTCTTTGTAGTTTTGTGAGATTCTGTCCTGTCTCAAAGTAAGGTTCTTTTTGGCTGGAGACGTTGATCAAAGACCCAGGTCCCGAAAAAATCGTTCTATAAAAATCCGGGTGCACATGTCCCACGTCTCCACCGCCGATCGTTGGCGCAGCACGTTCGCCCAATCCGCAGCGCCACGCCGCTGTGCCTGGCTTCGGCACAGCGAGAGTTGAAGATGCCTGGCCGAAGCCACCGGGTCGCGGAAAATAACACCCTGTTATACAGATACATGAATCACATGAGGTTGTTTTTTTGCTCTCATCTGGTGGGTTGTGGATTGATTTCTTTGAAAGCTTGTATATAGGAACCGAACATATGTGGTTCAGGTTGTCATCACTGTAGGTCATGGATTCCAACATGTTCCAATTCCGCTACATGCATGAGTAGTGAGTTTCCACGAGAGCTATCACATCATTCACATTCCTTGCCCCGGCAGCGAGGCTGGGGTGGTACGTAGATCGTTGTTTTTCCGTTGCAGCTCCGCCGGATCATCATCCTGCTCCACATGTTCAGCAGTCTCAGGTTCCTGCTGAAAAAGATTGTTTCAAAGGGGTTACTGTAAACATAATTACAAAAAATATAATTTGATAGGGGGAACTCCAACCAATGGGTTTTGGTCTATTTCCTTTCTTTCAGTTTTTTTGGAGGTCTCCCTCTATTTTAACACACACCCATATTTGTGAAACTGGCAGCCGACTAAGCCTTGACAAAGCATCATGCATCGTAGAAATCGGCAACACAGTAACAAATGCATGTTGCATGGTGAAAAGAACATCCTGCCAACCGTCTGCCAACCGCATATGTATGGTTAAAGTATAAAGGCATACCAATGGTAGTGTATACCATTCTCGGGTAGGCCCAACTGCATCTGGCCCAACTCATGCTTCAACTCCGTTTGATTGGCCCGCTGGGTGCCATTCTTGAAATCTCTATGAATAGACCTGACCTGACCTGTACCCCAGCTCAGAACTCTTGGCTCAAATCCCCAGCTGTGTTGCTTTTGGTTATATGAAAACGAGGTTTCGACGTTTCGGAACGCCTTTTCACCTTGAGCCAAAACACGTCATGAGTCGTGTCTGCAGTACTCTAGCGGAGTATTTATGGGCTGTACATGCAAACACTCCTCCTCTTGCAAAGCACTGTACTGCTGCGCAAGCTTAAAGAAAGTATGTGAAACCTCACGCTGCTAAGCCACTCTCAGCTGTGGTAGTGGAGCTTGGCCAGGGACCTTACTCCAAAACATCCAACTGTCCTTTGTTTCGCTTGCTGAGGAATGCATACTGCAGGTCCTCCATTGTTTTGCGAAGCTGCACCCCAGGGACCGATTTGGTCAACACATCGGCTTTGTTCTTAACACCTGGAACGTGGTGCACTTTCAAGTGGCCTTCGGCAACCCTTTCTTGCAACCATAGGTAACGAGTTTGGATGTGTCTGGCTTTACCCAAACCCACTCGGTTGACAGTTCCTTTGGCTGCGTTGGAATCGCCTTCTATGGTGACTTCCAAATCCAAACCAAGATCTGCGCATAGGCTTTGGAGTCCTAAGCCTACAGATCCGCCCTTCACGAGTGCGTAGTATTCGCTCTCGCCTGTGGAAAGGGCTATGGTGGATTGGATGTTACTGCTGTGTTTCAGCACGTGTGTACCATAAATGGCAACCATGCCAGTCGTGCTTTTGCGTGTCACAGCATCTCCACCGTGGTCAGCGTCGACCTGGACCCTCAGCCTCGAGGGTGCCTGTTGTGAGCCAAAACATTGCCCAACATCAGGGTATTTCTTTAAGTACCTGATGAGACGTTTCAAGTCTGCAAGTTTGGCTTCTGTCGGCGACACCATACCTCGAGCAAGGTTCATGACTGCGTGTCCAATATCGAGTCGATCTTGGGACAGATACGCAGCACGCATCGTAGCTGAACGATACTTCGATGCCTCGCTCTTATCAAGCAGCGGACTGCGGCTTTCCAGCATCTGCTGATCTGCCGACTTCTTGACATCTGGTGATTCCACACCATTTGCCTTTTCCAGGCCAAATGCCTGAATCAAAAGATCAACATGTCTCCGATCGGCTTCGATCACAATCGGTCCTTTGCCGTTCTTCTTTTCGACTCGGATCAACCGATTCAGAAAATGGGCTTCTGTTCGGTCTCCATCCTCGTCTCCAAGAATTCCGAGACATTTCAGCTCATAGGCATCTTTGAGGACTTGGCTGAGCTTCTCCAAGTGTTGGGCGTCTCCGAGTGCTAGGAAGTCATCTCCATGCACCATCACTCTGACGTCCCAAGCTTCTTGGTAGAAGACTGACGCATTCGACAATCCTCTGCGGAAACCAGCTTTCTGCAGAGTCTCTGTGTAGTGCGTCTGCCAGATATTTGGAGCGTCCTGTGTCCCATACATCGACTTCACG